CCTATGTCAATGATAAATAAAAGCAGACACATCAAAAATAAAAAAAAAAACGCAAACGAAAATAGAGCGCATTTAAATATATTTTGTACTTATTTCTATGAAGCAGTTAATATAGTTTAACGCACTTATAGACATTTTAAAAATATCATGTCTATGCTATAATTTTTTATTTGCAGTAAATATTCTACTCTATTTTTACCTTTTCCTATGATAACTATTTATTTTTTAATTTAAATACCTAATAGTTTTAAATGCATGCTTTGTATGAGATTGTGTATCTTTTTGGGTTATGTAGATGAATGATATATGTAAAAAAAAACCCTTTAATTATTCAACACATAATATTACCATTATATTTTCTGATTACCCTGGCAATTTCGCGGAATGACTTAATTCTTTTTTTTAAATACACTTTAGCATCAAGAAGAGAATTTAATTAAAACTCGAGACTGGCCATTTAACTAATGAAGAGGACTATCAACCGACCGCCTTTGTACAGATTACAAAATTATCATTAAACTCTTTTCTTTGCGAGAATTAGTTTTAAATAAGCCATGTAAGTGACCAAGACTAATCATTTCTACATTTAAATATTTATTAGCGGTATTCTGCGGCTTCCTTCACCCGCATGTGTCTATTTATAAAATATTCTATATTGGTATATTATATTAACTATCTGTGTACCAAATTTCATTCAAATCCGTTCAGTAGTTTTTACGTGAACGAACATTCCCATTTACGATAATTATAGGATTATTATTAAGTAAGAGTAAGTACTTTTGTAATAAAGTAATAATTATAAATTCACAGACCGAAAATGAAATTATCACAATGTTATTATTGAATAAATAAATTGTATATAAACAAATTAATTCGTTCAATACAAATTGTTCCTCTAGCGGAATCCTATAAAAATAGCGTTATTTAATGCGAAAGTTTGAATGTATATATATTGTATATTATATATGGACGTTAATTACTGAATTATGCTTAAATGGTTGAACGGACCCGAATGAAATTTGATACCCAGATACGAGGACTACATCCTCGATTAACAAATAGAATAACTTGTATCCTAATTAACGCAAGCATAGCCTCATTACTGGTATATAATTAAATCAGTTGAAATTAGATAGTATCATCGAAATATGCTTGATGATCCGTCATAGAATAGATCACGCCTTTCTTTCTCACGGATTTCTTAAGATGCGACTAAAGGAGGGCGAGGGATGGGCAGCAACTCCCATCTTAAAACATCTCAAAGTCAGACTGCAGTTACTAATTCGCCTGCCAAACGTGGCAACTATTAGCAAATCCCATCAAGAGGAAGGCTTATGTTCAGCAGTGGACAGCTAAAGGCTGATATGATGATGATAATCTGAATATGCTTAACTCATCGAATTAAACAGAAAACTTATTAAAAATGCACTAAAAAGTATCATTTAGACTTACATACCCATACCAGCCATCTGCCACAGGCATTGCTATGCTTACTGGGTGCTTCAAATCTTATAGTAATAATATAATTAATGAAATATTTTTAAAGGAAAAACATTGTTTAAATTATACTGACACGGATGGCGCAGTGTAGTATGCACAGAAGTATTTATTTTGGAATTTTAATTCACGAAATTTAATGTATAATATAAAATATCTTACTTGGAATAACAATATTATTCAATCTTTATTTTATGCTAATTGTAGTCTTGTATGATGCAAATAAAAATAAATTCATTTACTATTATTTACTAGCTTTTACCCACAACTTCGTCCGCGTGGCCCAAATATGTTTATTGAGCAGGAAAAAAATTAACCAATAGCCTTGTCCATCCCATGTATACCAAATTTCATAGTGATTCGGTTAAGCCTTTAAGGCACTATGAATTAACAAACAAACTCACTTTCACATTTATAATATTAATATATGTAGTGCTTGCGAAGAATCTACAATGGCTAACGAAAAACAAACAACCCTAACGCAAAAGATGAATGTAATTATTTTAAACAGACTAAGAGCAATCGGGAATTAAAAAAAAATATATCCCAAATGTAGGCTAATTAAGCTTACCTTTCGTAAATTTACGAGCTTACAATCGTTGGCTAATTTGAGCGTGCCGACCGCGTCGCAAATCGGACTGGACCGTGCATTAATCACACGGGTGAGTTTAAGCCGCGCTTGATGACCGCCCCCACGCATACGACCCCTGCTGAATATCAATGTCGTTTGTTGAGTACACAATACTGAATTTATGTCTATTGGGTATATAATAATAATACTTTGTTTCAGACTTTTTTGTACATTTTGTTAGTCATATCCGCCGTTAACTGTCTATTGTTGAACAAAGAATGAGGGGTGTTTTATCAGTAGTTATCACGCTTGGCAGGCGGGTTAGCAAACGCAGTTAGGCTTTGGTGATATTTTAAGACACACGTTGTTGCTCATTCCTCTACAATTTAGTTCCCTTAGTCGCCTCTTACGACACCCATATTATGTAAGTAATAATGTTAAATATTCAATACGGTATAGCGGGAATTTTGTGAACTGACTGTTTGTTGTTTCCGACAATTGTTTTGACTACATCCGGAAGTCTTCCTTAGGGGACGTATGGCTCTTTGCATCGAAATTATCGGAGACGACAAACAGTAAGCTCATAAAATTCCCGTTATAATGGGCGTCGAGTAAAAATAAACATATTTTTTAAAAATATATATTTAGTTGTATTTTTTTTAAATAAATTGTGATGGGCCATTTCTGCAACGCCATACTCAAGGTATATTTGTTTCCAAAGCTTTTCTAATAAAATTTCAACGTCATATTAAAACAAAATCACTGTAATAAATTTAAGACCCAAATATTTTAAAAGAAATATTTATAAAAGAGCAGGGTTTCAAGCCGTACTTCCTATGCCATATTATTTAATATTGTTGGCATTTAATTTACATCAATTTAATACTTTTATTTTAGAGATTAGAAAAAAAGAATTTCACAGACTATTTTATCCTGTTTATATTAAAACATTATTAATTCATACTCGTAGTTTACCTAAAGTATTATGTTACTGACCATCAATAATTTAATTTAAAATAAACATTTACTGTAGAAAGTGCAAAACTATTTTTTTTTTATATTTTCAGTGTTACATACTCGTAAAATATATACTATATCTATTAGAAAAAGGTATTGAATATAAAAAATATCTTCACAGTGCCATTGCTTTATATACGCTGCTAAAACTGTAAGATAGAAGCAAGGGATTTAAGTTAAAATAAAAAAGGTCGACCCCATAAAAAAAATACATCTTTTATCAGTGTGTTTGGTTGGTTGGAAGAGATCTTTTTCAGAGATAAGCCCACCCTTGCTCATAATATTTATAACTGCCTTATCTTTATAATTTAGAAGTGCAATAAGAAAAAATATATAAAAAAGTCCTCAGTAGTAGGAGAATTCAAATGATTGGTATGTTTAAGCTACTACTCGTATAATTTAAAAAAATCTGAGTAGAGAAACAGATTTATGCGGACAGCGGCTTTATTTTATACTAGCTTTATGCCCGCTACTTCGTATGCGTTGCTTTCAGAAGCAGGAAAACCAATGAAACAGTTCATTTCTGGATAGTGTATCAAGATCAAACATATACCAGTTTTTAAGTTACTCCTTCAGGGACAGAACTGTGTAAATCGCATCAAATTTGGTATAGTAGTTTTTACGTGATGCCTGAATAAACAGAAAAACAGACAGACAGACAGATAAAATTTCATTTAAAGTTGCTATTTCATTCGTTGTAGTTTTTTGTTAAACATTAAAGGTTATAAAATCTCAAGTGACACACCGATGTAGATACTTTAAAGTCGAATACCTAGCCTATCCTGCAATGTATAAAATTCAGCCCGTTGAACGGTTTCTCATATAAAACAATTCGTGACTTGCAAATCCTATTGCTGGCCACCTTAACGGTTACTTTTAAATCCTTCATTTCTAAAGCGACGCTGCGCGAAACTGACTTTTACGCCCCAGCGCAGAATATGTTTAAGGCGGCTTTACCGCTGGGTCACAGAAATAAATCAAGACTGACCTATTAATAATAAATCTTGATTTATTCCTGTGAATTGGGTTCATGCTTAATGCTGTGCCGCACACTCGTAAGAGAAATCTACATTGAATGTTCCAGTCCTCCAGCTTTTAGGATTTAATCTGATTGCCTGTGGAATTAAATCGACATTTATTAATTTTGCACCTTATTTATTGCAAAATAAATATGTATACGCTGAAGGCTGATCCCAGATGTAAGATTGTAACAAAATTGTTAATTGGTATATAAAAATACTCTATTTTATAGTCCAAAATCTCACTGTTGATATTTACAGGTAAGATTTTTTTATTGAACCTTGGTTATTGTGATTAGCAGCTGTATAGATTGCTTGTATACATTAAATTATATATCATATCATCTTAGCTATTATCTGTCCACAACTGAACATAGGCCTCCCTCATAGACTGCCATAAAGAGTCCGGAAGGTCCTGAGCCACCTGCATCCACTGACTTCCTTCAATGCATTTGAGATCGTCACTCTATATATATATATATATATATATATATATATATATATATATATATATATATATAAGAATTTTGAAAATTCAACCCCCGAGGAGGTAAACTGGTAGTTGAAAGATTGTATGAAATTTCGCCAGATTAGAAGTTGAATAAATGAAATTTTAAATTTAGACTCAAAATTCAAAACTAAATCCGCAAGAAATCTATAATTATACTCGTAGTTGAACGGATATGGGTACTTGGTTAATTTTTTGCCTGAAGAATTCGCAAGTAAACTTTTTAAGAATAAGTATTTCCTGTGTATAGAAGATACCATAATTTATTGTAAAAAATCGATTATTTGATATTAAGAGAATTAATAGAAAGTCCTTTTTATTGTTTATTTCATAACGATTAGTAAACGGCGTCAAAATAAAACAAACAAAACAAATAACACAACAAAAGTGAGTCTACTTTTACATTTAATAATCATTTACAATTTTTAATAATATCATAGTATTTAAAATAATACAACTAATAATATTACAAATGCGAAATTTTGTGTAAAAAGTACTTAGAAGATTAGAATGAAATTTAATACAAGGTAAGGGTTACATCCTATCTTAGCACATATAATACTTTATGCACTGATTCACGCGAGCAGAACCGTAAGCTATAGCTAGTATGATATATTTATGAATATTAATATTCCTCGTGTTCTTCCAACCTTCGGCGCTTAATAACAGATGAAGGAAACTTGTCAGTCCTAAGATTTGGAGAAGTATCGTCTATCAACCTCAAAGACTTCAGAGCTGCAATCTGTGACATAAAGAGAAGCCCGGATGGATTTTTGTAGCATTTTCCTAATGGCTGTATAGTAACATCTGAAATAATAAGAAACGCAAAGGATAACTTCACAGTGACGTCAATAACTGATATCTTCGATCTTCTAGAAAGCTCTTGTTCCATGTTTCAGCCCACTATACTGGCTTTTTCCTAATTCTTTAGCCATTCAGGCCATCAAGCACTGGAATGTTTTTCCCTGTGACATTAATTCTGCCCAAAACGAATTGGGATTCGAGCATAAACTACGTACTGTTTATTTAAAATCTCTAGAAACGTAATACGTTTCAGACGTTTCGCTTTGTCTGTTTCGTTTTCTAAAATTAGTATTTTAACAAGCAAGATAGATATATCGATAGATATTTTTTATTGTATCTTTCAAAAGATTATAATAGTAAACTTATTATAAATACAAACAATTACAAAAAAATATTACACTGAGAAAACAATGGCAAGTATTTTAGGCACCTAATAAAAATGATATGTCATATTTCAATTTTTTTTATCTAATTGAATTATTATTTAAAAGTGTAACGCATAAAATAAAATATAAAAATAAATATGTTTATCGCTAAAAAGAATCTCAAGGACATAATCCGAGTTGACATTAGTCTCCAAACTTTCCGCAAACTAGGTCAGACCTGAAGGGACCGGAAACGCGATCGCCAAATTATTTCGTAATATACGTACGAAAACACAAATTAAATATAACAAAATATTATTAGTATATTATATTATATAATAACATCTATATAAAAAATGCATTCCATTACATTTCGACTTTGTTTTCAAATACCTCTTTATCATCGAAATCCTATTATAAAATATCACGTAAAAGCATAATGTTCCAAATTTAAATAAATGGCGGCCATTGGCGGATACGTTCAATTGTTTGCTTTAATAAAGATATAAATTCTCCAAGTATTAACTTTATACAGCCATTTAAATTTCACCATATAAAGTTTAAAACACCATAAACGTTAAATTATAACAATTCTCCTTAATTCTGGGTTATAAATTTAAATCCAACAAAGATTAGACCGTTTTGTATGAAGTCTCTAGAAAGTAGTAATTATGGTTTAGCTGTCTTTTAATGACCTTTTAATATTTGTATTTTTATACTTATACTCATACCTGTTTATAGTTGAGATCCCCGTCTATAATTAAATACAGTTGAGTCTATCTAAACCGTAAACTAATCCTATATCAATGTTACGGAAAATCAGGCCGTATAGATTAGTTCTTTTACCTTTTCCATTATAGATGAAAGAAACTGATATTCGTCTCTGCCTACTCCAATGAGGCGGGGGGAATAAATTGTTAGTAATAGGGACTACCAGCTCTATTGCTAGCAATATATTCTGTCAGGTTGACCTCGATGTGGTTCTGGAAACCATCGTGCTTAATTCCAGATGTATTCAAAACAATGGGCTAACTGACCTGCTTTTTCATTCTCACTCATCATCCCTCACTGGTGCCACGCCAGCATATACTGATAGCGCAGGCTGGGTTATCATTCCATTATCATCCTTTAAAAAACTCAATGAGACGTGACAGATAAGTATGTGTGTAAACTGATATTCCCGTCGACATAATTATTACAAACTCTTTTGTAATTTGTACTTTTATGTTTTATCCTTTTATATTTTTCATTTTAATATTAATATGTCAGTAAAACTTTCATTACGAACCAGCATTTTATTATTACTAATAGTTTACAATAGTAGTGTTATTGTAGTGACCATTCCATTCCGCTTAGCTTATTTATTAACCTATTCTCCAAGTATATTTAAATCAAATGTAAAAAGAAGTGAATTACCCGTCGCTAATATTAATTTGGTTTGTTAACAATATTTTTTATCGCCCGAGAGTTAAACATTTAACATATCTTTTGGTATCAACTATATTTATTCCAACTTACTTTAGTTTCAATAATATCGATCTATATTCGCGCCATTTCCTTTAAGGGTAGAAATTGAGAACTGTATACCAAAGATAGAGGTCTTTACACACATTGTTATAACTCGATGAGTTGGGGTAAAAATCATTAACTTACTTGTACCACCTATTGTTTTCTTAGTGTGTATATATTTATTCATAATTATTTGTAAGTATCTATAGTAAGCTTACGACAATAATCTTTTGGAGGAAACAATAAAGGATGTTTTTCTATCTATTATGTCGTGCCCCACGGAAAACAATAATTATACCAACGATTCACGATAGTCTCAATTATTACTTTTATTAAATCTGTATTCCTATAATATACTTACTAACTCCAAGAGCACAGGAAAATAAGTCAATATGACAATGATTGATCATTGGCCGGTAGTTATACGATTTCATGTTTGACTTCCAAATTTGCGCACACGCAGGCTCGTAGGTGTCTATGCAATACGTTGGGCAAGTGTGATTGCAAGCTTGGTGGGCGCCTACTATACTAAAATCATATACTCTACGACCGCTTGTTCGTGTAGTCCTTTTTAAATTACAAAATGTGTGATGAACTTGTTCAATGTCTGAAGTAAAAATTAATAATATCTACATTAGGATGAAAATTATATTACGTGTTAATCTAGAAAATAGACAAAAGGTGCCGTAGACGATCACCAATAACCTGGTTGTGAATAATATGACATGATACTCGTATGTGCAAACATATACTAAGAGATATCCATAGAGTGTAGCGCAGGATTTAAATTAGGATAATAGCCGGAAGAAATGAATGAATGAATCTAAATCTAGAATGTAATCTATAAGTATACCAAATCTAATTAAAATCCATCCAATTGTTTAAATGATATAAAACTTTCTCATTTCTAATAATACTAGTTTTTAAACCAAAGTTGCGGTGCGTGACACCAAGATAAAAGTAAATTCTTCTCCTACTGATACTTACTATATGTATTTCAAAAAGCATATGTAAACAAACAAACTTACTTTTACTTTTAATAAAGATTAGTACAAAAATAATGCCAAAAATACAAATGAACTGACAATCGATGTATTCATCTTTAAAAAAATATTTCAAACTCTAATAATTATTATAAGTTAAAATAATAAAATAAGTAACTGTAAATGAGGTAAAGTACCTAAAATATACTTCAATCGACACTTCATTCTGTTCAAGTGACAAATATTATGAAACGTTCCTATAATTCGGATACCATTCCGGAACTCGGCTGAGCCGCAAACATAGTCAATTACATTTGAACATTGTGTTTTATGACAATTTTCTCCGATTATAAAGGCTGTAAAGTATAGAAATAATCATAAATTAAAATAGGATTCTTTTTCTTTAAATATTATTATACTGATTACTCATTACAGTTCCTTTGAAAACTTACTATATAAACCCAAAATAAACACCAAAACAACATAAATCATAACAGCCTTGTATTCGAAAGAAAACACAATACTAAATAAAAATCTGATTAATAAAGAAACACATGTTGATTGGTGCTACTAGCATTCTATTATAACTTTTTAATGTTCGTTGCTGGAAAATAATGGAAATCTCGTTCATTATTCACTTGAGTAAGAATTTAATTTTAAGGTTCGAACATAAATATAATATTTTGCACGTAAATAGTACGAGCTACGCACAAATTTTGAAGCAGGATTGGAATGAAAAACATAAAAAATCATAAATTAATTTTTGTCTTGACGGACCTATGATATAATTGAGCGTTTCTCACTGATCATATCAAATATCGTTTTTATTAATGTTCAAAAACAATAGCATTATAAATTTTCCAAATTATTTAGGGGCTTATAATCAATATAATTAATTAATATATATTGTTTGCTTGGGCACCTCTGTCCCATCCGTGTTTCTACCGTGAAGCAGTTGTGTTTGCATGGCTGTGTTTCGGTTTGAGGGGTGGGATATGGCGTGAATTCATAGGGTACAGAGGATAACATCTGAGTTCTCAGGAATGGCAACGCATGGGGGGTATCATGGGCGAAACAGTATACTCTGTTATGTTCATGGTACTGCTCATGTCTATAGACGACGGTTACCACTTTCTATCGGGTGGCCCGTCAGCAGCGTTTGCCATTCTAAATCGCATAATATATATATATATATATATATATATATATAATATTGTGTGTGTGTGTGTGTGTGTGTGTGCGTGTGAGTATATATAATAAAATCTCATAACTACAGAATCCTAATAATAACGCGTATCCTATACTCTCTTCTTAACCCGTTTCAATCGAAACACAGATGATATCTAATAAAAATATATTCATGATATTTTTTACGACTTGGAATGGAAAAGAAGCAGACTTGTATATCTAACGCCGCGAACACCGCGTTGTCAATAAACATACATCATGTAAGATGATGTATACATGCATGTTATTGAGAGAGCACCGGCTTCCATTATTATTATTTCAGCCGTTAACTGTCCACTGTTGGACATAAGCCTTCCCCATAATAGGAGTTTTGGTAATAGTTGCCACGCTTGGCAAACGGTTTGGCAACTGCGGTTAGGCTTTTAGAGATGTTTTAAGAATTTACCAACTCCCATAATATAAGGTAATTCTTAGTTTGGAAATGAGTATTAAATGGTAAGTTAAAATAGTAAATAAGCTGACAAACCGCCTGATCAAAAACAATGGATGTTATGCGTCATTTTAACTGAAATACAGCTATGCAAACACAGCCCCTTCCTGGTAGAAACACAAGTGGGACAGAGGTATCTAAATTATTTGATAATATTATAGTATCTAATTACTACGTAGTTAAAAGATCCCATCTTTTTATTATATATCTAAATGAATTTTTAAACTGAAATAAGTCAATTAATTTCATAATATTTGCATATTCATTATTTTTGCTTGTTTATATGATAAAAATAAAAAATATGTTGCAGATATTTCTAATTTTAATTTACGTAATAGGTATTTAGAAATTATAAAATATTTATAATCATTTATTACTATAAATATTTTTCTGAAGCAAATATATAAGATTCAACATTATGTTTTGTAATGTAGTTATGAGGCAGGAAAACATTCTACCTTAAATATTTATTTCGTTGTATATTTCAAAATAAGAGGCAAATTGAGAAACAAAATTAAATGATTGCCTCTTTCTTTTATTTCGTCGAAAACATTTGCTTGTTCCTAAATGAAAATTAAATAATATTTTATTTTTTATCAACACAATAATTACAAGAAAACAAAAGTTTGTTTTTTATTAATTTAACGGTTCGATTAAGTTATGATTTGGGTTTGACTTCAGTGTCGAAAAGGTATTTGTTATTTTTGTTATATTTTTAGATGCTAAAATATAATGCTTATATTTATAATAATATTATAAGTATAGCAAGCTAAATCCCAGTGAGAAAAATCCCATTCATAAAAATGAATGACAAAATATATCTAAATAGTATAACAGGAAAATATATATTGTAAATTATTCCAGTTTTGACGAATATCTACTTTTATGTTTATCTTATATATCCCTCTATGGGATAAGTCCTCCATTGTATGTTAAATCTTTTATATGACCAATGTAATGTATATATGTACCTACAAAAAAGAACTTCAGCCTCCTTCTGAACTTCCTGTTTGTCGAACTGTATGCTATATCTATGTATATATATATAAACTTACGCATTCAATGTATAAACATATTTACATATTATTTAATAAATAAAATGAGTGTTTATGCATTAAAAAGATGCAGAAATTATAAGACAAAATAAATATAGAAGTTATAATCAGTTATAACTATTTATCACGCAAAATTGTATGTATGGAGACACTTTATTTATATAATCTAAGATATATATATATATATATATATATATATATATATATATATATATATATATATATATATATATATATATATATATATATATATATATATATATATATATATATATATATATATATATATATATATAGATATAGCATATATATAACAAGAGATTTTATTGATAGACTCGATTAACTTGACTAGTTCGTGTTAGTTGATTTTTAAATTGTAATATGTGCATATTCAGATGTTTTATTTTTATCGCACTGCTGTTTTCAGAAACCATCGCCATTTAAATTACAACTTGTAATTTATTTCACAAATGCAATGCTTCGTCCAAGGTATTTAGCAACGACAATTAAAAATAAATTCCACTCGTTTCGGCACCAAACTTCGTTAGGAATAATACAATTATCCTTTTTTTATAATTTATTTTCAAAAAGTTTGCAATTTATACACGATAAACAAATAGGTACAAAATAGAAGCAGCAATAAATGTGGGAAATTGGGATGGGATTAATGTTACAACACACGAAAATACAACCATAAAAATTCTCTTTTTTAAAATATTATTACTATATTTAACACGTCTCTCAATTCTTTCATACTATTTGATAACAGCTAAGTTCTAAATATTATATCAAAGATTAATTTTGTTCATGTCTAGGTGGTAGTTATAACTTACCATCAAATAGGCCATAAATTTATTAACCAAGCGAAATCTTACAAATAAAAAGAAATAATTGGGAATATAATTATTACTTAATCCACATATCTAATAAATATATAAAAGTAAATAGTAAAATAATTTTTTTTAATTATTTTCACATTCATTGTAAATATCTCGAATTCACTATAATATAAATTAAAATTTATATTAAGTTGAAAACAATACCATCTTTCTTTTGAAAATGTTTATATTATTATAAGTTTCAAGGTGAAATGAAAATACGGGATAAAAACAGATGTAAAGAAAAAATACAAAGAAGGCAGTAACGACGTATACAGATTACTCGTATTACTTGACCGTCAAAATCAATCTTGACGATATGATGTATAAAGTAGTGTAAAGTACGAATAGGATGTTGTAAGAACCTGGAAACAAAATACATTTACTTTATAATTATTGCCAAAGTTGGATATTTTATCGCTTTAATTTGCAACATGCATATTCTTAAATAAAACTCCCTTAAGAAAATAACTCTAATAATTATATTAATAAATAATTATAAAAATATATCAGAAGATAATAAGAACCACAAATAAAACTAAAGTAATATTAAACTTTTAAAATGTAATATACCTACATTACATACAATACATAAATTATATAAAAAAATAATTACTTCTTTATTATACGAGTACATGCAGTAAAACTGAAAAATTATCTCTGGTCTATACAATTATAACGCTGTTATTGGTAAATTTTGATGAAAAAAACAATAGTAAATTTGAAAATACAAAGGGTAATTTGAGTCACAGAAATAGTAGAATTATTTAAGTTTTCAATTTAATCCAAGTACTTGACATCAGCTGTATTCAGATCGTTTAAAATAAATTATAAATAAACTCACCGATCTATAAGTATTTAATGTAATAGTGTTGAACTTTAATGCTGTGAAGTAAAGTGGTCTTTGAGATCTGAAACAAATTTAAAATTATGACAAATATTATAGTATACACATCCTATATATGTTGTTCAATAGAATTAATTTCGTCATAGGAACTGACTCAATAAATTATATGAAACATTGTTACATAAACTTTACGTGCCCACTACAAAACTGTCGGGTGCCCACTCCAAGATGCGAGCGGAGCTTTTCAACTGATTTCAAAAAGAAGAAAATCCTCAAATTATTGTATTTTTCTATGTCTATTACTTCATAACTCCGTCAGTTGTAAACCGATTTAGAGATTACAGATTGATCCTATAGAAATTTTATCAAAATCGATTCATTAGTTTTTAAATTAAAATAACTGGTTTTACCACAACTGAAGTCGGCATTATTTTATATAGAACGTAATCTTGATAACTGTGCGCAAAGATATGTCTGAGAGTATATAATGTACCTTTTTTAAGAAGCCTCTTTTTTTAAGTGACTATATCGTTTACCTTTGCAACATGAGCAGGAGCGCGCGTCGACACCGAATGTTGCAATTGTACCATCCACTTTCATATACGGCATCTGAGACGCCTATGCTCTATTAAAATTATTAATAAAAATCTTTAATAAAGAGTTCTTTAGAATCTTTTTTATAATACATAAAATAGCAAACAAGTTGACGGCCCACCTAATGGAAAGTGGTATCCGTCGCCTATAGCATACATTAACAGCACCGTAGACATTACAGAATACACCATTATGCCCATGGACCCATGTTTCACGGCAGAAATACGAGTGGGACAGAGGTACCCATGCAAACAACTTTTGAACAGTCTCAACAAACTCCTCTTCTACAAAGAAAATTACTAAACATTACATCAAACTTATCATGTTTAAAACTGTATATGCTGATTTATGCGGAAGAAGCTGCGAGATATAACTGGCATATTATAAATATAGCTTTCAATTTAAATTTTTCCCCATTATCAATCGACGCTTACCGCTCTGTATATCTCGTCGGCATACCAACACACTATTCCCATCTGTGTTAATGCTGCTCCAAGAAATAACTTATTGCTCACTTCCATTAACGGATCTAAAAACTAAAAAAACATATAATAACGTTAGGACTACCACATAGATATTACCTGCCAAAAACTTCAAAAACAAATATGTTTAACTAAAAATATAATAATAAAACGAAGTAATTACTTTATAATTTTGATGTTCTTCTTAATTTTTAATCCATTTACCTAAATCATTAGCTAAATCATTTATAATCCTTGATAATTATAATTTTGTTTCTGGTTTCCCGCATACAAAAAAATTCTCAAAATTTTTTAAAATACTAAATTACAATTACGTGTACGATGTAACGTCACTAATAGTTTACCATAGTTTAAACATATAAAATTATCGGTATAGCTAATTTAGTCCTAGTCCTCACTAATATTATTATGAAAATGTTTGTTTTTATTTTTGTTTGTTACCTCATTACCTTAATTGCTTAACCAATCTTTATAAACATTGGTAAACACATACTATGCTAATGTAAGGGATTCAGATAGAACGAATAAGGACATAGGGTACTTTTTGTCTCGAATAGTAAACATATCCCGGTTGGAGGAAGGGATTGTTAGAAATGCGGATTACCAGTCCCATTGCTAGCAATATATCCTGTCAGGTCGACCTCCACGCGGTTCCCCCTGGAAACCATTATGCTAAATTCCAGATGTATTCATCACGATAGGCTAACTGACCTGCTTTTTCATTATCTACCTATCATCTCTCACTGGTGCTCCGCCCGCGTATACCGTTAGCGCAGGTGGGGTTACAATTCCAGTACCATCCATTAAAAAAACATATCCCGGTCATATGGACAAAGTTACGGGTAAAAACTAATAAAAAATAGAATTTATCAGATTATACATATAATTTTCATTTAAATACTTACTACTATGTTGAACATAACGCAACATATATTCACAGAGCTCAAAAGAACATTGATCAAGTTCACCGCAGAGAATGCATCCTCCAGATCATTCGCATATCTGAAAAATACATTGTAGTTATAGTACTAGAATATTCGAGTACTATTGGTATTGTAAGAAGTGTCAGTTTCTAAAATTCACAAGTGTAAAGTCGCGAGATGAATCCGTATCACCCGGTTTTATCCGCATAATTTGCACTGGAAAATAATGGAAATCATTTCTGACTTACTAGTATAAATTTTCAATATCAGTATATGAAATTCATTGCGGAAAATGTATCAATCGATATCTAGTTTATCATAATTTCTTTTCAATGTTTCGTCTATTATTTTTAATTATTAAAAATTTACTTGAGAACTGATTTTATCAACGAAATAATTTTCTAACAATTAAAAATGTTTATATGATACACGTATATGTATGTGGTAATGGTATGTAAAAATATAACATACATACATATCTGTACATATATCATATCTTTTATTAGGGTAAGCTGAAACAATGAAACGCAAAGCGCTTCGATTCAAACAAAACTCCTTCGCTTCTTCCACATTCATCAATCTTTTCATACACGCTCGCCGGTTACGGGTACTTTTAATTTGGCCTTTCGCATGGCACATCGCATATTTGGTCGACATACGTCCGCCTAGGGTGGCCCCTACCGACATCTTCATTCATTCTTTCTCGATAAATCTCTTTCGTAATTTTTCTTTCTATAATTAGTATATATAACCATACTGGCATTCTTTACCTGATCAATCTCTGATGAATCTGAACTACAGCAACAATCTCATCATAACAATCGAGTGGTTGTATAATGGAACCACGCTCGTCTTCCTGACCAAGGCTCTTAATCTTATCTTGCAATAAACGTAACAACATACTGATGTGATTTGTCATACTTATAAAAAATATATCGGAACCCAGCATGCAACACACACAAGCAAACCCTGAAAATGCATATACACGTTAATACTTAAAAAATTAACACAAAAAATTACGAGATATTCTAGATAAATGGACATCACAACACATTTAAATTAATAATATTCTACATTTCTCACGGCAGTCACATTAAAAATCCTATAAAGTAGTGAAAGATCAGTCGGTACTGATACGGATACGGTACTACCGGTCGTAGTCGTGGTGATATACTCGTATATAGCATCTTGTTGCACAAAGTATTCCAATTAAAAAAAAGATTTGAAATATTTTAGTGAAGTCATTGGTTACAGTGACTCAACAATTTTATTTAAAAAAAATTCATAATTAAAATTTGATTAACAATGCTCGATTACTTTTCTTTATCCTTCTTTATCAAATCAAACGACTTTATAAAGAAGGAGATTCTCAATACAGTTGTATTTGTTTTTTTATTGCAAATGTTTAAAAATTGGCAATGGCCTTTTATTATCAGGCGAATCATATACTAGTTTCGCATCCGTGTAAGCTAATAAAACAAGTATTATTTGGGGAAAATCAACAACTTCAATTATAACATATATGGAATAAAAACGAGAGTATCTGGATTTGAAAAAGAAACACAAGAAGGAATACCATTAAATTGACAATCACTTTATTTTCGAAGTCGCTTAAAAACTATTTCCTGGAAAGTAAAAGCAATAAAGATAAGAGCGTGACGGCCATTATACTCAATTCATAAAATTTCATTTTGTATAACCCTGCTATTGAAACCATTAAACTTGGCTGAATTACAACTAGGATATGCGATACCAATCACGAGATAATTCAGATAAAGTCACTATAAATAATTATTAAACACCCTTTATTAATCGATATCTTACCACTGATTATTTCAAATACATATACAAATTCGTGTATGAAAGGCTTTGTCGCATCGAAAGGATAGTATAATCGCCATACCAAACCCAAATTGGAAGGTGTACCTCTGGCCAATCGATACAAATGCAGCATCACTGGAGTCAAAATAAAAAACCATACTCCTAACACGTTCCAAGCTATATATGCTGTAATAAAATTGCTGTTTTAACTTAGATACTATGCCAAAGAGTTAATTTTAAAAGAGTTGTTTTATTTAAAAAACGAATACGTATGCAGATTAAATGAAAACTGTTTTAATGGCAATGCATGGTTACATTCACATGTAACCATGCCTATACCTAATTGATTTCTAAAGTAAAATATAATACTACACAATATTAACTAGAAAATGTTTGATGATTATAAAATATATGATTCGGATTCGTAGTTGGTATACATGTAAAAGTTTTGATGTTTATTAATCAATCACGTTTAAACGGCTGAATAGCTTTGAATGGAATTGCAAGATACAATTATTTATAAATGAAACATCAAACCATTAATCCGATATCAATTTATATTAATAAGTAGTACTACATTATATCGATTACAAGATTATGATACCTGCAATTAAAATGGATAAGATTTCCAGGAAATTTAAATACATAGAATGGGCTACCCCTTTCTTTCCCGTGGGTGTAGTAAGAGGCGACTAAAAGTACTTAGCGGTAGAGTAATAGCAACAAAATCCCTCTTAAAACATCATCAAAATATTAACTGCGGTTGCCAACTCGCCTACCAAGTGTGACAATTACTGACATAACCCCCCTTATGAGAGAGCCTTATGTTCAGCAGTAGACAGTTAACGGCTGACATGATGACGATGATTAATAAATTAAATAAACTTACGCGCTAACTAATTGTTTCATAAAACATTTTATACTCAATGAATTAAGTTATAAAATAATGACAATACTTACCAATTTCTCTCGATCGCAATGTTTTTAGACTGTTATCCTTTATGATAACTACTTCAGGATTCGTCTCAACAATAGGCCAAATATCGGCTAGTTCTTTCACTACTTGACGAAATGTATTTTTCTTGTACCAAAGGGTTAATAACTTTCCAAAACCTGTTAACGAAATAAGTAATTTATTCGAATGCCAAGATAAAACAACTTTAACGACTATCAAGTAATTTTTAATATTTTTTAGAAGATCTTATTTAACTTGCAATGTATATTACATTGTTTAGGTCCGATATTGTTAGCTGAATTAGAAATACTTCTTAACGTCCTATTCATAACGAACTATGGTAACTTTATACTTATGTAAATTTTCAAAAACCTATTTGGAATAGTAAATTTAGCTGTAACATTTTCTATAGCGTTTTAGTTTAATATCAGAATACTTTTTTTTATACCGCGATGGTGGCAAACAAATATACAGCCCGTCTGATGATAAACGGCCACTATAGACTATGGACACTTATTATGGAAAATTAAATATAAAGATAATAACTTTTTAATAATAACTGTTAACTCACACATTATACCATATCCAAAAACATGTAAATTACTACCGCCGATAAACTGTTCCACAGACACCGAATTTACCATCAAAATTATTATAAAGATAATTTGCCCAAGCAATAACAGAACTAAAAAACAAAATACTACTACAAAAGACGAGAATACGATAATTTTCCGTGCATAAGTGGTCGGTATTTCATCAATAAACGACAATCCTATGTTTCGAATGAAAAAATTGCAATAAAACAATGTATTATGTATTTCTTTTTCCGCAATAGTTGTATCTTCTGACATGATGAGATTTAATCAATATATAATTATGCTAAAAATTATCTAAATGATACCTATTTCGATATCTTTAAAAGTCAGATATTCTATTAGCTCAATATTATGATCAAATGCCTGCCTATAACTGCAACCCTGTTAAGCGATAATTGACTATTTATAGTGCGCTGACAAAGACATTTTTCTTCATTAAATATTTTATGAAGCAAAGCACTAGATTATGAGTAACATAATGATGGTTTAAGGAACAGAAAATAATGGTTTCAATATGCCTATATTAAATAAATAAAGAATATCGTCAATTTTGCTATAAAACACATAAGCTTGAATATACCTGCATAATTATAATCGTCGAACAAAAGAATGTGTTAATTATAAAAAAAAAATATTGCAAATCTATAAGTAGGTAATATAGTAATAAAATTTATAATATAATACTAAACATTGTGTTTATTGTATTCGTATGAGAGCTGTTAGTTTATGATAATAGATAGATAGATATAGAATTTATTTGCATCACATAGCATACAAATAACATCAGATATTGGTATATACGCAAAAAATAAATAAAAGAATATATAGATATATAAATAAAAGACAAATACATAAAAGAGGTAACATATTTTTTTGTGAGTGTGCCACAGTATCACAAAATGGTCACAACTCAGTTTATTGTTTTACCCTCATAAGAACACACACATAACACTAATATTACGTTGTGGCCAAAAGTTAAAACTAATAGGTAAAAATTAAATCAGCCATCATGATAAATTCTCTGATAATAAACATGATTGTCTACCGTGAAAATCGCGTAAAAAGTCGATTTTACAAAGTATATATTTATTGCTAAAAATAGACCACTAGTCTTGTTTAGTCTCTGTTAGTTTAGTCTCTAGTTTTTAGTGAAACTTACGAATAACAATAATGTTTAGTCAACTGCCAGATAATAACGTGAAAGTTCATAATATATCGTGCACGGAAAAAAATAATAGCACCTATAAAGTAACATTATTATTCAAAGTAAATAAAATAAATATTATAGAATACTCTACATTAATTAATTTGCCATTGCGTTTATTATTGACAATATTCTGTCATTTCATACTCATTCTTACATAATTAGGTACTAAATGCTTGTTCATCAGCAAAAATAACTCTAAAAGTATTCTTATATTTTTACATCATTATTCAAATATTTATCTACTACTACTCTTGCAATAGTCTGGATGCTTCTCGCAATAACCGTTACTTTTGTTATATTCGCATTCAAATATTAATAACCTTTACTTCCTTTTTTTTTCATTCCACAAAGATAGCAAATAAGCATACAGTCCATCTGGTAATAAACAGCCATTGTAGCCTATAAACATCTACAAATATCAAGTGTGCGTTGCTGACCCTGAAGAAACCTCAATACACCCTTTTTGAAGAACCCCTGCTATAATCTCTAAGAAAACTTATTACACAGGTACTCATTCCACAACCGGAGCCTTTGCAGATGGAAACCCCTCTGTAACCACACTACGCAACCACTTTTTTTTTAATGAATGATAAATGGTAACCCCGTCCGTGCCATCGGTATTCACTAGCAGGGCACCAGTTAACTGTTTTCATTCTCATCGATCACCCTTCACTGGTGCCCCGCCAGCGTATCCCGATAGCGCAGGCGGGGTTACCATTCCATTTTCATCCAATAAAACCCTATTACTAACAATCCCTTAAATACGCAACCATTTAGGTTCTAGCGAATGAGGATGAATTCCCTGACGGTGGCTAATCGTGCAATGACAAAAGGTGGCTACGGTTATCATTGCTAACAATTCGTGAGAACACAATCCTTATGTTATAATTTACTATAACAACTAAGTATTTGTAAATTTTTTTTTAAACATACACACACTCACACTGTTCACCTTCTCTCACACCACACACTGAACGTTACAGATTTAAAAATTTAATTAACTGTAATCTTCTAGTTAAACATTAATTTCTATTTTTTCTTTTTTTTTTTCATCCTGTTTATTATGTTTGTAGCTTAATATTGTTAATTCTGCATGTACAAATACAAAGTATTAGTTCTAGTGTGTTGGAAGGAACTCGCTAAACAAGGCACAGATTACCCTAATTTGTAAGCTAGGTAAAAAATATGTAACAGTGCAACCCTGTATTTGTTAACAAAGTTTTATTATTATTAAAAAAAATTACGGTCTAAATCACCTTACAATTTTCTATAGTCCCGACTCCTGATTAGTTCTAGCTGTATATCTCATTATTTTTGCTTTGCTTTTTCATTGCTTTCTAAAGATATAGATTAAGATGTATCTAGTTAGTACCATATTTTTTACTTTAGGTACAATACCAAATTATTCATCAATAATTTATATTATAAAATAATACTATAACAAAATGATTAGTTAATTCAAAGCCAGACTTTAAAAAAAGTTAATATATCATATTAATATTTTAAATGTAAATATTCATGAAGATTTTCGTATGCTTGAATATTTTATTTGGTAAACACGTGTATTCCATATTAATATATAAAAGTCACAAGTCAATATCATTTATTCATATAGGACATTGTTTGTCACTATGCACGTAAATTTCTTACCCTACTCTCGAGTTTAGCAAACAAATTCAGCTAAAAAACTGACAATCAACTTGGGAGTATTTATATCCACATTTAGGATTCCATATTAAAAAGCTACAAAGGAAGCCTTATAGTGCAACTTTATTTGTTCGTCTGTCTGTCTATACAGCGTTATATCTCAGCAACTATTAATACTATTAATTTGAAATTTGAAAAAATGTATATATCAAATACCCGCACGTATTGCAATGAAAATAATTGACAAAATATTTTTCTTTTTTTGCTAGGAGCAAAAAAAAGGGGATTCAAAACGGATACTCAAAATTTCAAAATTGACTTGCTAGTCCTTGTGGATATTAGGATATTATGTGAAAGAGCATCATTTGTACATTTTAATATTTTAGAATTAGAGGAATGGGTAGCAGTGTCCCTCTTTAAACATCTCCAAAGCCTAACTGCGGTTGCCAATCCGCCTACTAACTACTGACAAAACCCCCTTATGGGCCTATGTTCACCAGTTGATAGTTAATGGCTGATATGATGATGAAGATGAATATTTTAGAATTATTAGGAATTAAAAAAAAGGAATAGAATAAATAAAATATATATTTTTTTACTTATTTTCATGCTGCTTAGTGTAGTTATAGTCCAACGCTGTGTAGTACAACAGAATGTACAATTATTACAAATTTAAAATTAATACCAATGGTGTTGATTTTAAATTTGTAACAATTTTACTATTAAGAATAGTTGTTGAGATATTCACTGACTGACAGACGGACAGACAAAGTCGCACCATACCAAAAAGGTACAAAGGAAGAGTCCTTTGTGAACCTAAAAAACAGTAACACTTTAGAATATTCGTATATGAAAACAGTAGTATAATGGTAAGTAGTAACTTAATTACTATTATGAACACTAAGTTATACACAAACTAAGTTTCAATCTACTTACATACTTAATACCATCAAGTTTCAAGAATTTATGTGATAATAGATTTTGGAACTAATGTAAACAATGGAATGCTACAAGTTGATGCTACTCAGCAACACCTAAATCGCTGGTAGCTTCCAATTTATTACTCCACATATAGACAGCTATAAATAAATAAATGAACACCCTTTATTGTTTCTCAATAAAAAAAGCAGTAAAAAAGAAAAAACTTAAAACAAAAAATATATATTGCAAAAAATAGACTACACCGAGGAAATAATAAATGGTTTTAGTACTAAAGCGTAATCTCTTTTAGGTGACCATTGGACGTCGACCATAGACAATACTCGTAGTATAATGAAGAACCTACTTTTTTAAATTTATTGCTAAAATTTGTTATTATGCACTTTGGCGAATAGAACCAAAGAACTTCTCTTAATTACCCTTTAATTGTTCAAAGATCTAATCGTTCAAGTTAAATATTATTATGATTTATCTCTTTCTGTACATTATTTTGGCAATTAAGCATGCAGACATACGCAATTATAAAATATGTCGCATACTGTACTATATTTAATGTAAATAGGACTCCCATTTCTATACTAAGGTTCTCATTTGGGCCATTGTATGTCTGAGTCATGGTTAATACAGCTATCCAAGCTTGGCCCAGAAGCACAGAAGCTTCGTAATATGTTCACAGATCTCATGAAGCGACCTCACTGTTCCAAGTATTTGTGAACGTTGAAGAGTCAAAGCTTCCAGAATTACGTGAACAGCCATTCCTTCAGCATCAAAACATTATCGGCATGAAGGGCTGTTTCGTTTAATTTTTAATAAAAAGTATAATAAATGTACTTGTTATACTGTATCTATCTGTATTTTAAGATTTTCATTAACGTCTTCTTCTGCAAATGTTACCAACATTTTTAAGACAATAAACACATTAAAAGTTGAATAAAAAGTTGTTAATTTTAAGTTTTGTCTGTAATTGTTACCGAATCATCATAAATACTATCTCTGTCTAAACTCTAACTGGCTAGATCTTTATATCGACTTTTACACAGATGAAGTCTTTAAATTTAGTAATTGTAAGTAATAATAAAGTTGTATTTTCTCGTGTTTAAATTTATAAATAAACTTAATAACATATTCAGTTTACTTGGCAGTTGCGCATGGTAAATTGAAGGCCTATTATTATGTGGACATTGGTAATTATGCGGACCACAATTCTTTTTTATGAAATGAAAATATAATAAATATTTCCATTTATTATATTTCATTAAATTTCTTTTAAAGTTACGTTATTATCTTTTTCCCATATAGAGACAGTTTTCGTCTGACTTTTGTATGGAAGACACAAGTCTAATGTGAATCTAAGAAGAAGTGGATAGGTTTAAGAAATAATACATTAATTAATAACATATAATATATAATTTATATAATACTAATTGTTTACATAAATGAAGTAGATAGGTAAGTATTTTAAATGTATACAACAGCAAAATTATTAGTTTCGCGACATACTCGTATATACCTGTGAAAACTTAAATAGAGGTGAATCTCAAATATTTATTTTCAATATCTAGTTGCAAATAAACAAAACATGGTTAAATATTAAAAATGAAGTAATCGATCTAGACATCTCTGCAGGTAAATGGTTGTTAAAAAAGAAGTTACTCATACATTATTCGCATTGTAGGCATATTTTCCTTTTTTTTTTGTTCACTTTTTATAATACTTTGTCATTTGTCTACACTAATGTAGATAATTAATGTCGACGATACGATGTATATAGAAGCGTAAAATATGAGTAGGACGTTGTAAGAATCTGAAAAGAAGAAGTAGACGTTATTTTTACTATCGTACATCTAAAAGAAATTTATGCTCCCCGTTCTTTCTGTCCCATCTCATGCATTCCTTTTTTATATTTTTAACTGCAATTAAATATTTTTTATTATTATTTACAAATATTATTGCCATATACATTTCCAATATATAAAACGGGAACATGAAGAAAGTAATAATTTTATGAAAAAAAAGTGTGTAAATTTTAAAAAATACGAAACATCCAATTTGGGGATCTCAGTTAGCACTAAGCTCCGAGCAGTGATCTTATAATTTTCCTGAAGATGATGCATTTAGAGGTGAAACACGTATAAAAAAATATACGTGATACAAAATGGGAGTCGAAGATGGATGGCTAATATGTAAGATTGTGGAACTTCTAGTAGTAATAATGATGGTCAATCTTCGAATATTTCAGTCACACTAATGGTAGCAGAATTAAAATAATTCTAATCAAATAACCATTTCTAAAAAATAATCTAAATGTGACACAATAGAACCATATAACCAGTATTTCAATTTTGTAGATTTTTTGTGGATCATCAATCCATGCGAAGATTTAAAAAAAATTGTTATGTATTTTAATAAATATACACATCAAAAAAGTCTAAGCAACAAATACTATTTCAAATTATTAATCAATTATTATATCATTTCTTACCAAGTAGGTAATACCTATGTAAACTTTTTTGATCTAGAGGACATACTGGCTGGTTGTAAAAAAATCGAGTACCAATTGTTTTTTTTTCCACAAATTTAAAAGCGAATGCATTTGTTCAAATATTATAGCGTTTACTTTGCTTAATAAAATTCTCTATAAATTCTGTATAAATGTATTCTGTATAAATTTTATGATTTAAACAATAATTTGAAAAAAGTTTTGAACAAATTTGGATTTTGAGACATTTTTTACGTCATGGAGCGACGTCATTTGAACGCAGATGAAATGCAAAGAGCTGTAGCGATGTTGCAAGCGGGATGAAGTTAATCTTACGTATCTCGGTATTTTGGTGTCAACAGAAGCGTTATTTGCCGTCTTCATCAGCGTTACACTAACACGGGAGATCCTGCTGAGCAGCACTCAGGTCGAGGAGGGTGTACAACCACACGGCAAGATCGATACATATAACTGACTGCAAGACGCCACCGATCTTAACCGCCCGAGAGATAGGTTTAAGGCTACAAATTTTAAGTGGTGTTGTTGTTAGCTGCCAAACTGTGCGAAATCGACTGCATGAGTAATATGAGTATAGCCTACGAGCACGACGGCCAATTAGCTGCCCACCGATACGTCACGGGAATCGCGCTCGTCGAAATGAATGGTGTAGTGAACACATTACATGGACCCGGGAACAGTGGGATAAAATTTTATTTTGCGATGAGTCTCGATTTGTGTTCAAGCCTGATACGTCAAGAAAGATACCGTCGTCCTGGAAATACTGAAAGACTGAGGTGCGTTCAGGAAGTGCATCCATACAACGGCTCAACAGTTATGGTATGAGCGGGTATTATGAAGAATAGACGAACTGAGCTCGTTTTTGTAAATGGTAACATGAACGCTGTAAATTACGTTGAGGATGTTTTAAGGCCTTATGTCCGTCCATTCGTACAAACGCTTGGCTCCGATTTCACGTTGATGCATGACAATGCGCGTTCGCATACAGCTTTGCACACACGAGAGTACTTGGCAAAGGAAAACATCCTGGTATTACATGATTGATGTATTTTCATAGACGTTCTGCGTCATCTGTTAAGGCTGGTGATCGGTTGTCTCTCGAATTGGGGATCGGTAGACAGTAGAGGTCGCCAGTTCGAGGGCCGACCACAAGCTCATTTGTTGCAGTATCCGACCGTTCATTTACCTTCCTAATGCTCCTCAAATATTGCGTCTAAACTGCTCCCACCATGTACCTTCTTGTATAGGTATTCCGTCACCCGTATCCAATAGCAGGGACGAGATGCCTTAAATGCTATACCGCAAACCATAAAAAAAACTATCCTGGTATTGCCTTGGCCTGCCCAATCGCAAGACCTCAACCCCATCGAACATGCATGAGACATGCTCCAAAGACGTGTTTTAAAGGACTTGGATGAAGTGACAACAACCCAACAACTGATGGATTTACTAAAATTTCATTGGGAGCAATTGCCGCAGGATAAAATTAACAGTCTCATCGATTCTACGAATAATCGGTGCCAGCAAGTTCTTCATAACAGAAGAGGCCTCACTTTATATTAATTTATAAAATATTAGTACAACCATTTAATTTTAGTTGATTAGGCACCTTACTTTGTACTACGTACATACAGTACTTACACGTAACTTTGTTAATTAAGATTATTAAAAAATAAATAAAGAAAAGCAATTGTTGTTTAATATAAAAAAAAAAACATTAAAAATAATATAAATAAGAAAATACTAAGGATTTAATGCGAAAACATATTGTAAAATTGAAATTTGTATATGTTGCTTAGACTTTTTTGATGTGTGTATAACTCACTGATCTAAAAGTATTCAATGTAATAGAGCTAAATTTCAATGCAGTGAAATAAAGTGGTCTTTGAGATCTGAAACAAATTTAAAATTATATAAATACTTATACATTCTTTAAATTTTATATAATTAATAAATTTATAAATAGACAATTCGTGGGCCGGCGAGCATCATAACCTTCAATCAGATGAGACCGTGATTAAGCGCGGAACTCTTCAAGAGTATAAAACATTCTAGTTTTTGTTCGCAAATTCCTCTCTGCCTGTTTCGCTGTTTAGGGTTTAATTTTAAAACTAACCTATATTCTTCCCCAGATTTCATAATATTCTCATATGACCATATTTTATTAAAATCAGTTCGCCTGCTCAATCGTAAAAACCAAAAACACAGGTACTTACTTAAACTTTTAATATACTTACTTACAAATTACAACAATTAATGATGACGAGAATAAGATAATGTTTGTTGGGTAAAAAAATCATTGTATTACTATATAGGTACATCTAAATTATACGTTTTTATTTAGCTCAGATTTTTACTCAGATTTCAGAAGTAGAAAAACCAATGAAACCAAATTTTAAGATAGACCTTCGAGAAAACAACAGTGGAAACCCACTTCAATTTGGTGTAGTAGTTTTTGATGCCCGAACAAATACAGACAGATAGATAAATAACATTTCTAAAAATTATCTTTTTGGCTTCTATCTTGTTCCTATTAAAACAAATCATGGTCCAATTTTATTATATTAAAGTGGAAAATTTAATACATAATTAGAAATAGATATATATGAATACATTCCATTAAATAGGGATGTCTGAAAATTTTTAAAAGAAGTAGAACCTTCATGTTTTTTTTTATAATATTTCTATACCTAAACTACATGTGAACAGTGTATACCTCTGAAGCATGAGAAGTAATGCGCGTCGACACCGAGGGTTGCAATTGTACCATCCACTCGCAAAAACCGCGTCCGACACGCCGACACTCTGCAAAGTAAACAAATAAATATTGGCTAATACTTAAGGTATACCAACTTGTTTTACAGATGTTTTACAGAATATGAAATAGCAACTCATAAAAATAATAAGAGTTGCCAAAATCCATGAACAATACCATGGTAATCACAAAATATATTATTTACGATATCTCTCCATTCACATTTAAATTTTTGTAGGCGAAGAACAATATGTACATAATTATTTTCTCAGTAATAATAGTTTTTATACCAAAAACATAGTTACACTAATAATCAGATTTCCACTGCAAAACTAGCTACGTCTAAAATTCTAACAAACAATATTATTTCTTAATAATACCGTAGGTATGTTTGTTTTCGCAATGGATTGACTTTATTACTCATATTAAGTTCATATTAAGTTTGTCGCTATTTACATCACGGTTATGTGTAAAAAAAAACACAATTTTTATATGTATCTCATATATTCTTTATTGCCGAATAAATTTTAAAAATATATTTTTTATGATAGGAATATGGTTTTAAGCTAAAAACAAATAACCATAAAAATGTATGTTAATTCAAAAAATATATGCAACTAATACTAACAGCTCTGTATATGTCGTCAGCATACCAACACACGACTCCCATTTGTGTTAATGCAGCTGCAATAAAGAACTTATTGCCCATTTCCATCAGCGGTTCTAGAAACTAAATAATATAATAAGTTTCATAACTATATATATATATATATATATATATATATATATAATACGTATATATTTTTGTCACAAATAGATGAAAAAGTGATTAATCTATTTACACGACTGCTAAAAAAAGAAGTGTAATATTTTAAAGGTTTAGTATGTAAGTACCCCGGTATATGAGTTTATTTCAGTATATCCAGAAAATATAGTGGAATAAACTCATATACCAATGCCAGAATGAATTTTGATATATGGAGTATCGTTAAAATCCCTTCGCTATCGTCATCGTTATCGCTTGCAAATAAAGCTATAATATTGTGACAAAGAGTGGAACGGACTAACAGATGGTCGAACAAAGTCGCACCAAGAAACTTCTTTTGTACCTTTTTGGTACGAAACCCTTAAATCTGATAAACACCAAGATATTGGATGAAAAATAAATGGAAATCAATTACTTTAATATATCATAAACATAATACGAGTAAGTACATGTACTCACTATAATACTAAACATAACACAACAAATGTTTACAGAGCTCAGTAGAACATTTATCAAGTTCACCACAGAGAACGCATCCTCCAAATCATTTCCATATCTGAAAAATATATATTTAAGTTATTTTCGTTATCACATCCAGTTGCTAAGAATAATATAAGATGCTTTACTTCGCATACATGTGTTGCTAGTCGGACTAATAACTACGTTGGGTTCGATTCTAAGTCTATCATATATATATCTATAAGATATAATTTCCTAAACCCCTCTCTTAACGTAATATTTTTATTTGTTAGTTTCGGGAACTTATAATTTTATCAACCAGACCATCATTAACTAAATTTAATAACTCTGGAAGTTAGAAGAAGAACTAAAAGGAGCTTATGTATTGGTTCCATGGAAATTTTAAATTCAAATTACACACATCTTATTATTATTTTTTCTTAAACTTATTCAAATATTTTATATAAACAATATGTTTTGGTTTTACAGAAATTATAATGAGTAGATATTATAAGAAGCAGACATTACAGGCTTGCAGTCATTATTGAAAACATACTTTTTAGAAATAAAGATTACTAATCTCAAATAATTCTTTAATAAAATAATACACTTGCTCGTTTATAATGTGTTTAAATTTTACTTTTATTACCTGATTAACCTCTGATGTACATTAATCAGATCGATTATTTCATCATAACAATTATGCAATCCCCCAATGAGTTTACCGTCGGCAGATTCTACCACACCGAGACTCCTTATTTTAACTTGCAGTATTCGCAACATCATACTAATATGACTTGCCATAGTTATGAAGAATACGTCAGAACTTAACATACAACACACTGAATATAGTCCTAGAAATATAGAAAATATTTCAATAATAGAAAAAAAATATAGAATGTCTATAAATAGATATAAAGCAATATGATTAATAAATGGTACAATACAATCACCTGAAGCTCAGAAAAATATATATATCATTTATATTTTTAACAATCTATCCCACACCTTCACCCGCATGAATCTATATATATTGAGTTAGGATTTATTATACCCGTGACCCAAATTGTATCCATATCTGTTGTGTAATTACGCAAGTAACAAACATCCATGCCTCATTATAAACCTTTACACAGAATAATAGGATATACATAGAAAAAAAACTTTCTTTTACTAATAATATATCAAAACCACATTAAAATATAGTCGGGAATTTTTTGTTATTGCAGGCAGTCGTAAGCTACGATAACTGCTTACTGTCAGACAAGCTGCATGCTTTTGCCACTTTTGAGATATAAAAAAATATTCTATTCGTACTTACCAGAGGCAGTTTCAAATATATACACAAATTCGTGTACGATCGGTTTTGTTTTGTCAAAAGGATAATACATTTGCCATACAAAGCCCAGATCTGAGGGTATTCCTCTGGCTAAACGATACAAATGTAACGCCACTGGAGTCAAATTGTATAACCACACTCCTAGTACGTTCCAGAAGATATATACTAAAACCAAAAATAATCAAATCTCTTATGAAAACTAACACTTATAAGATGTGCGTGTGACATCCGAAAAAAGGAATTTCTAATTACGTAAATAAATAAAAATAATATCTAAGTACGGTATCACTTGTTTTTGCAGAATAATAATTTATAATTAATCAAGTAAACCTTTAAATATATGTATGTTTAATGTAATATAACTAGATAGCTAAAATGATTATGAAGTGATAATAAAGTGTTTATATATAACGTTTTTATTTATTTTTCATTCTGCATCTAATATACATGTCTAAAAAATGTCATACCAGACTTCTCATACTCAGTTTCATTTGCATTACCAATTATTTAATGAGGTTAAAACTTTGGCTCGCATTTTATTCAACATTTTTTTTAAATAATTAGTTTTTGGTCTAATTATTGACGATATTACATTTCAATCACACTATTGTATTTCAGATATAACTTTTAAAATGGCTGACTACAACTAGAATAGTTAATTTTAAACTTTCGCGTCGATTACTTATATTTTAAATAAACAATCGGAATTTAACCTACATATATATGTACATATATATATATATATATATATATATATATATATATATATATATATATATATATATATATATATATATATATATATATATATATATATATATATATATATATATATATATATATATATATACGGTGTGACTACAACATGGAGCAATCCACATTGAAACGTTAAGTGTCGATTGTGTATTTAAAACAACTAGAATATTGTATATACTCGTTGACATTAATACTCATTAAAAACTTGTTTAACGCATCATCACCAACGTTAAGTGTAACTCACACGATTGTCTTGATCGCAATGTTGACAGGCATTTATTTTTAATAGCAACCGCTTCAGGATTTTTCTCATCAACAGGCCAAATGTCTGCAAGATCGTTGACCACCCGCCGAAATGTATTTTTCTTGTACCAAATGGTCAATAATTTTCCAAAACCTGTTAACAGATAATAACATTATATGCAATTGATTAAAATTATATAACTATTATGTTTCAATATAGGCAGTTTTATAAAATTAACTTTTATATTTATACTAAGTCCATGCGACTGACGAAAATTATATTACTTTTATGTTTGAATATAGGTGGTTTAATAAAATTGACTTTTATGTTCATAATAAGACCATCTTGAAGAAAAGAAGGAGGAAGAATGATTATTTAAGTGATGAATTATTCATTACCTACATTTGTTTCGTATGTTGTCTACAAACCTTTACCCATCTATTAGAAATAATTTAGAATATCGTAACATTTATTTAATTTAAAAACTAATGGTACCTAATTAAAAATACTTACTCATTGTATCGTATCCAGCAATATGCAAATAACTCCCCATAAGTTTCTCCAATGTTACTGATTTCGCTAATAAATAAACAATATATACGTATTCACTAATCAACATAAGTGCCACAAATGATGATGCTGTTATAAAAGATGATAAAACGTTAATTTTTTGTAAAAACGTATTTGGTTTTTTGTCAACAAACGACAATCCAATTCTACGAATAAAGAAATTACAGGAACGCAGTGTACCGTATATTTCTTTTTTAGCAATTAATGTTTTATCTTTCGACATGGTGGCGCTAAATTAACATGGGCCTCCGTTAATAGAAACTAAACAGTAAATGTTTGTGGGAACCTGTGTTTGAAGCGTTTATACAATTATGTCGATTAACCCTTTTATATTAGACTAATATAGATTTATTGTCTTTTTAATATTTTATGAACTGACTAGCTAACAAATTATAGGATAACAGTTGAAACACAACATTATGCTGTACGAAGTTTGTAATTTTTCTAAGTAGATAAATAAGTAACAAACGCTAGCCAGACTTGTAATAAATCACTTATTTATAGAAAACTTTTAGGCATAAGTTAGTATCTATTATACTAATACTATATTAAGGGATAAAATAATCGAATAACAGTAGAATAGGCAATATGATTATACTTCTCCATTAAAGTTTCGAACTATATATTAATAATTTAATATTGCATTCCATAAAAAACCCCACTTTAATACAAACTAGTTATTTTAATTTAAAAATAAACTGCTTAACAAATTTTGTTAAAATTTCTATGAGAACCTACTTATAAGTATATTCTTCCCAAATAAAAATTTATAAACGACTTAGTGGGGGAAAAGAGATTGTTAGCAATGGAGTTTGACAGCCCTATTGTTAGCAATATGCCCTATTAGGTCAACCTCCACGTGGTTCCCCCTGGAAACCATCGTGAACACTTACTGAATTCGTCACAATGGGCTAACTGACCTGCTTCATCCTCACCTATCATCCTTCACTGGTGCCCCGCCGGTGTATAGCGATAGCGCGGATGGGGTTACCATTCCATTATCATCCATAAAAAAAAAGAGACTTAGTTATGAGTACAAAAAAAAATACAACCGAAATAGAGAATCTCTTTCTTTTTGAAGTCGGTTGAAAAAAACTATTAAGTAAATTCAATGATTTTCACATCCGACAAATCAAACAAATATACGTAATACTGACTACTAGTTTTTGATTTCGAACTTCATTAATCTGATTTATAGGCAAATGACGTCAAGTGCAATTAATTAATTCGTGCCGTCGGAATTGTCCATTTTATTGAGAGCTACATATTAAAAACAGATTGCAGGCGATTCAATATCATGTTATGTGTCACCACTGAACGGTTTCACCTAAAATATAATTAAAACGTTAATCAGAAACAATGCAATTGCCTAAAAACATGAATATAATTAAGATCAATGTTTTCCAATTATTTCAGGAAGTTTGACAAAACATAAAATGAAACAAGTAAATTTTTCAGAAAAAATTACTAAATCTAACTCACCAATTCAACAAAGTTTTAGTATTTTTTTCTGTTGTTTTTACTAACTTGTCATACATACCATGCTATAACACGCAAAGTACAGGTATTATTGTATTGTAAAATCTTTATTGCACATAATTTATATTGGACACATTAAACGATTTAATATGCACCTACATATGTAAATAATAAAACACATAAATAAATAATAACAAACTTACACACATAAATACATATATAAATATATATAACAAATACATAGATACATATATTTACAATTGGCTCAGTGAAAAAAGAGTTTTAGAATAAAATTTTAAGTTACCTGCTTTAAAGGGTTTTAATTATTGTGCCATCATCCATGTAAATGACTTGGCATAGTTTTCAGAATTAAAATAGGTACTATAAAAATTAATTATAATATGAATTAATAATAGAGTTGTTCTCTCTGTTAGTTCTAACTATGACAGGGAAATTTCTTGTTGATACCTATTAATACTCATATCAACGCAGAAACTATCTTCTCTATTTTGTTGACCGTTACTAGTCCATAAACTCATCTCAATATTGAAAGCTAAGTTTCCTATTGCGCTTGAAACATAATATCTACGAGTGCCTACGTACGTAGGTTCACAGAACAGTATTAATTACGAGTCTCAACATTTAGATACTAGAAATGTGAAGAGAATTTAATATTCTTTCAATATTATAAATAATATTAACAAATATATTTATTATTAAAACTTAAATATGTATTAATATCTAAAATAAAGTATTATAATAATAATTCATATAATTCTTTTAGTTCATTAATTTTACCTGCCTATTTCTCTGTTTGTGCAATGGTTAACTGGTAGAGAATATCATCAATCATTAATAAGCCCACCAAATGTAAGTACATATAATTACACATTGCAAGAGGAGAAGGGATTGTTACTGATGGAAAATATAAGTCGCATTGCTAACAATACACCCAGTTAAGTCGACCTTCTTGAAGGGGACTATAGAAAGTGACCTTCATCACCTTCTATGGTCCCTCTTGGAAATCATAGTGCTGAATCCCAAATTTATTCATCACGATGGGCTAACTAACCTGCTTTTTCATTCTCACCTGTCATCCCTCACTGATGCCAGTGAGGGATGACAGGTGAGGGTGCCTATACCGTTAGCGCGGGTGCGGTTGCCATTCCATTATCATCCAAAAAAAATTACAAAGTGCATTAAAGTTATTAAATATTTAAAACATAAATATGTAGTTTCCCTTTTCTTTTATTGACAATTTCTTATTATACTTTATTTGTTATGACACTTCGAACAGTAAAATACGCTGACGGCCTCCCTGATGAAATAGTCGATTAATAAGTAAAGAATGTGTCCCACAAAGAAACCTACCTCAATCACGCCATGACCGTTTATTTTAATTTAAAATTCATATGGGACTAATCTGTAAGTATATCCTTTCAGATGAAAAAAATATTTTTCCAAATCGGTTAAGAACTAACGGAGTTATGAGATGACAAACATGAAAAACTATTGATGAATTGGAATTATCAAGCTCCTTTAGTTAATAAATATAAATAAATAAATGTTTTTTATGTTATATTTAAACCAAAACACTACTAATGTCTAAACACTAACACAGTCAAATATTCATATTTATGGCGTAGTTAGGCAATAGATAGGTTGTTACTAGCTGTACCCTGCGGCTCAACTCCCTTGAATAAGTACACAAAGTATTATATGCATTAAATTAGAATGTAACCTATTCCGTGTACTAAATTTAATTCAAATCCGTTCGGTCATTTTTCGAGATAAAGTAACAAACATCTATCTATCCATCCATCGTCACAAACTTTCACATTTATAGTATTAACAGGGTATATTTATATACCTTAATATCAATATATAGATAATAATGTAAGAGTACAATAAATATCGATACAAGCCAAACAAACTGCGGCCTCAAATCCTCAACTCGATGTACGCTTGGCCTCACCTGTCCCTAGGATTATTCTTCTCGCATCTAGCCGGCTTTGCGGGATTACCACAGAGGGATCTCGCGAAAGTAAGCAGCTGCTCGTTTATCCACTGACAGATCTTGACTTTGTTTTACTTCTGAGTCACGTCACGTGCTCACCGCTTCCAAGGTTGCCGATAGATGTTGAGACAACATTGATATTCGTTATAGGCTGAGCGCAATATATCATATTTTCCATATCGTATGTAACTTACTATTATGTAAGTGATAAATTGTTCTGTGTCCCACTAATATTCCTGTCCTATATACATTAACTTGCCATAAAAGAAAAATCTTCTAAAGAAATTAAACATTCTCGGCTTTAAGTAGTATTTTACTGTATTGTGATAATTAGTTTATGAGCTTCCTGGGATTCGTAATTATAATTAAATAACACTTGTGGCTTTGCTCACATTATCACGATTCCGTACAAAATATATTTTTTTAATAAAACATACGATCGCGTAGCGTTTGCAAAGCAGTATTATAAATGTGAAAGATGTTTAAAAATTTGGTACTCAATTTGAACTGAAAAATACCTATATTAACTTAATACAGTAAACTTACTTAGTATATTAATAATAATATATAATATCAGAATATATCCAACAAAAAAAATTATCATGTCAACCGATAACTGTCCACTGCTGAACAGAGACCTCCCCATAGACTATCACAAGGAACGCTCCCGAGCTACCTGCATAAGTACTATGTCAATCTATATTAGCCAAATATCTGTGTAGACGGCTCTAACTTTTTGTAGACATTTGCACAGATAGGATCTGTAATTTTAATAATTATGAATAATAATAAAGTTAATATTTTTTCGTATTAGAATTAATAGATAATTCTAGTAACTTAATATTAACGTCCAATTATGCATGATAAATTAAAGACCTATAATTATGTGAGTGTTGGTGATTTTCGGGACCGTAATTTCGTCTTTATGAATGGAAGTATTTATTGACATAAAGTTTATTTTGAAGTCATTTTATCACTTGGTAATATTAAAGTATGATATACTTTTGAGACTATAATACTTTTGTTTTCATCATATATTTTCATACAAAAGACATATTATAAAATATACCTGTGTACTAAGAAGCATTTTCTCCTTATAAAGACAGTTTTCGTCTTACTTTAGTATAAAGAACACAAGTCTACTGGGAATCTAAATAGTGGACAGATTTAAGAAATAATACAACATATAATATATAATTTATTTAATACCAATTGTTTGCATAAATGAAATAGATAGATAAGTTTTAAGTTTAAACAATAGCACGACTATTACTTCCGTGACATATCTACCCCTAAAAACTAAAATAAAGGTGAAATATTAAACATTTTATTTTCAATTTCTAGTTGCAAATGAACGTAATATAGTTAAATATTAGAAATGAAGTATTCCATTTAAGTGTCTTTGCTGGTAAATAGTTGCAAAAATCGAAGTTATTCCTACTTTGTTTACACTGTAGACATATTTCGATTTTATTCACTTTTTGTGATATATTTTATCATCGTCTACTACTCTGTTCACAGTATTAAAGATTATTATTATTAGTATTAATGTCGACGATATGATGTGTAAAGTAGCGTAAAGTACGAATAGGACGTCGTGAGAACCTGAAAACAAAAAGTGGACATTATTTTTATGATCGTACATCTCAATGAAATTCATACTCCCCATTCGTTTTGTACCGACTCATGCGTTCCTTTTTTTATTTTATTAACTGAAATTAATAAGTTTTTATAATTTTGTTATACCACAAAGGTGGCAAACAAGCATACAGCCCGTCTAATGGTAAACGATCACTATAGCCTATGGACACCTGCAACACCAGTAGTGTCACGTACTCGCTGCCGACTCTGAAAAAAACTTTGATATACCCTTTTTAAAGAACCCCATACTGTGTAGTCTCTAGGAAAAACCTCGGCAGGGAGCTCATATATACAATATTATGACTAATAACTCACCGATCTATAAGTGTTCAATGTAATCGAGCTAAATTTCATTGCAGTGAAATAAAGCGGTTTCTGAGATCTGAAATAAATATAAAATTATGTAAATATTTATATATTTTTTAAAAGTTTTGTATAACAAATAATTTTGTACAACAGTCTAGTTTATGTTTACAAATTTCTCTATCCTATTTCACTGTTTAAGATTTAATTTTAAAAAGTAACCTAAATTTTTCTCATATTTCATAATATTCCTACAAAAAGTTTTATCAAAATCAGTTCGCCTGTTCAATAGTAAAAGATAAAAATATATATATTATATAATACGTCAATGATGATGATCAAGATGTTGAGAATGAGATAATGATGTTAGGAAAAAAATATACCTCATCTTACGAAAGAAATATTCAAAATTATAAACATTTTTGTTTATTATTAAATACTTAATAATTTATACCAGAGAGAGACTTTGTACAAAATTCGTTTGTTTGGGTTCCTCTGTCCCATTCGTGTTTCAACCATGAAACAGTTGTGTTTGATTGGTTGTGTTTCGATTTGAAGGGCGAAGGTGATATGGCAGTGAATTTACAGGGTACATAGGAATAACACGTGAGTCCTCAGGAATGGCAACGCATAGGGGGTATCATGGGCGAAACAATATATTGTTATATCCATGGTACTGCTCATGTCTATAGGCGACGGTTATCATTGTCCATCAAGTGGGCCACCAGCTACTTTCCATTCTAAGTTGTATAAAAAAATTCATATTTAGAAATTGATACAGTACTATATTAATAAGGAATAACTGAAAATTTTTAAAGAAAGTAATGTGCAGGTGCAAATACCGCTTGAACTTTTCGACATTTATGTTTTTATAATATTTCTATACCTAAATTACATGTGAGTAGTATGTATATACCTCTGAAGCATGAGAAGCAATGCTCGTTGACACCGAGGGTTGAAATTGTACCATTCACTCTCAAAAACCGCATCCGACACGCTGACACTCTGTAAAATAAACAAATAAATACTGGCTAATACTTAAGGTATACCAAGATAGAACAGGAAATAGCACACAAGCCCAACTGATGAAAAGTGGCAAATATCGCCAATATACATAAAATGCACCACGGAAATCACTAAATACATTGTCCATAGTACCTCCTCATTCAGAATTTAGTTTTGTGGGAAAAATATTCAAAATTTAAAAATATTTCATCTAAACAATATTATTTCTTAATAATGCCGCAATTATATGCATTCTCATTAGTGGATAGAGTTTACTCCTGTATTATTCCTATATTAAGTTTATCATATTTGACATCGCTGTTTATATCTCAATTTTTTTATATATTATCTCATATATTCCTTATGTATATTTTTTCATATGTTACCTATTTCAAGAACATTAAAGAAATAATGCAATATCGTTTTAAACCGGTAGCAAACATAATATGCAAGCATTAATACTAACCTCCCTATATATGTCGTCAGCATACGAACACACCATTCCCATTTGTGTTAAAACAGCTACAATAAAGAACTTATTGCCCATTTCCATCAACGGTTCTAGAAACTAAATAATATAATAAGTTATGACTATAATCTACTTTTGTTGTAAATAGATGAAAACGTGATGAATCTTTTTACACGGCTGCTGAAAAATATGAGTTTCTATATTCCTCTATATTCTAAATACTATAACATATATAGATATATGTTTTGACTTATATATATTATCCCGAGTGACAATGACTATAAATTTATTCCTTTTTAATTCATTTCTAACAGCTTTTTTTTTCTATTATATTTGTTTTTTAATTAATATTAACTCAATTATCTCGTCCGTACTCAAAACTTTGACAAGGATAGTGGCATTCTTTTTTTATTTATTATCAAAAAACTAGTGTTTTTATTTTCTTGATTTTAAGCCCTCACTTGACTTTTAAGACAAGGATTTATACAAAGTCATATTTATAGCAAACTACTACTAATAATATTTTTATTTTATTTTTATTTTTATACAACTTAGAATGGCAAACAAGCTGACGGTCCACCTGATGGAAAGTGGTAACCGTCGCCTATAGACATGAGCAGTAGCATGGACATAACAGAGTATACTGTTTCGCCCATGATACCCCACCTTCCGTTGCCATTCCTGAGGACTCAGGTGTTATTCCTCTGTACCCAGTAAATTCACGCCATATCCCACCCGTCAAACCGAAACACAGCCATGCAAACATAACTACTATAACATAACATAATATAATAATAATATATATAAAAACTACTACACTATAATATCTACTTTACAGTTAGCTATTTAAAAATTAGCAAGTTAAGTCTTGAACCATTCTTCAATCATTAGTCAGTTAAAAATCTTATAAACACAAAGATCTTGCACTAAATTCCAATTATTTAAATATATCATACATGTATAAGTACTCACTATAATACTAAACATAACACAACAAATGTTGACAGAACTCAAAAGAATATTTATCAAGTTCACCACAGAGAAGGCATCCTCCAAATCATTTCCATATCTGAAAAATACGTATTTCAATTATTTCCGTTATCACATTCGGCACAATTGCTAAGAATAATACAAGATGCTTTACTTTGCAGACATGTGTTGCTGTTAGTCCGATTGAGAAATATTGGGTTCGGTTCTGAGTCACCTAACCTAATGTTTGTATTTAATAACTTCGCGAAATCACTGTTTTATGGACCATAAAAAACAAAATTTATAAGAATTTTTATTCAAATTATTAGAAATTAAATTCATATTGGTCCTATAGAAAGATTTTGCTATAATATTTAATTGAAATTTTATTATTCGAAATTAGAGAAATGGCTCTTTAGAATTAACCTAAATTGTATTTATTTTTTATAACTGGTAAAGGCAAACAAACACTATTATGTCATTTCCTTTCATGAGAAGGTTTAGCCATGAATGAGATACTTCCCATAAATTGCTGTTCCTGAAGTATATAGTAAAAAAAAATACCCATACAAACACAGCTACTTTACTGCAGAAACACAAGTAAGACAAAGATACTCGCACCAGTACACTTTTTGATCTTCTATTATATAATCAATTTCACTATATATAATCTATTACGTCATAAGTTGATATTTATTTTTCAACGATTTTAGCAATAACATCATAGTTTATTAATAATATTAATAGCAATAATACGAGTATCAATACTAAAATTTGTTTGTGGTCTTCGTGACATTACTACTGAAAAATCGTCCGCAAATATGATACATTGGTATTCATTAGAAGTCCCAAAATTGTATCTTGGGGAACATCGACATCATTAACAGAAGTGTTGGATTTGTAAGATATATCTTCAGCGTGATCATTTATTCCAATTATTTTAACATATTGACGATGATTTTCAAGATGACTAATTAGCCACTATAGTACTATTCCTCGTAGATCATACAATTCACATTTTTTTAAAGAATTTCATGGGATACAGTATACGAATACTATGCTCGTGTCAAAAAAATTAAACGTAGTCATTTTATGAATACAGGAAACAATATAGGAAACAGTCATTTTAGAATTTCAGATATTATTGTTAACAAATATTTTACGATTACTGACAGTATTGGAAAAAGACATTTTATAATTTTAGATTTTATAAGTATCATAGAATTAAAGACATTACTGAATCTCAAATAAGATTTTTAATAATATAGCTTTCTGGTCTCTTGCCAAAGCTGCACAAGGGAATTTCTGTAAGTCATCTTTTCCACCATTGCGCAGGGAGGATGACTCGTTGGCCCAGAACGCTAAGGAAAAGGCCGATCTTCTTGGATCCATCTTTGCGTCAAACTCGACATTGGATGACGGGATGAAATCACCACCGACCATCACGTGTTGTAGGAGCTCTATGCCTGACATTAAATTCACGCATAGCTCAGTGCGTAGAGCACTTTTCTCCCTCGAAATCCATAAGTCGAGTGGGCCCGATGGTATTCCTCCAATTGTGCTTAGGACGTGCGCACCAGAGTTGGCTCCGGTTCTTACGCGTCTTTTTCGGCTTAGCTACTCATCGGGCATAGTCCCAAAGTTTTGGAAGACTGCTCTGGTGCATCCGATCCCTAAAAAGGGAGATCGCTCAGATCCAGCTAACTATAGGCCCATAGCTATCACTTCCTTATTCTCGAAGGTTATGGAATCCATCATTAACCGTCAACTGCTCCGGTACCTAGAAGAGCACCAGCTGATCTGTGATCGCCAGTACGGCTTTCGACAGGGACGTTCGGCTGGTGATCTTTTAGCTTACTTAACACACCGATGGGCAGTGGCAATCGAGAGTAAGGGAGAGGCCTTAGCAGTTAGTCTGGATATCGCGAAGGCCTTTGATCGGGTGTGGCATAGAGCGCTGCTTTCAAAGCTACCTTCATTTGGGTTGCCTGCGAGACTGTGCATTTGGGTCGCCAGTTTTCTCAAGGAACGTAGCATTAAGGTCGTAGTCGACGGAGCATGCTCTGATTTAAAACCTTTGAATGCTGGTGTCCCGCAAGGCTGTGTACTATCTCCGACTCTGTTTCTTCTGCATATCAATGATATGTTACAGATAAGTAATATTCATTGCTATGCAGACGACAGTACAGGAGATACATTATATACCGGTCATGCAAAGATCTCGCGGGCACATACCGATGAGTGCCGGAATAGACTTGTGTCTGAAATCGAAACTTCACTCCATCAAGTTTCGATCTGGGGTGAACAAAATCTTGTCCAATTTAACCCCAAAAAGACACAAGTCTGCGCGTTTACCGCAAAAAAGACGCCGTTTGTCGTATCTCCTCACTTTCAGGGCACTTCCCTTGATAAAAAGTCGAGTCTAGGAATTCTGGGTGTTGATATATCTTGCGACGTCCAGTTTTGCGGTCATCTGGAGGAGAAGGCTAAGATAGCTTCCAAAAAGTTAGGAGTACTCAATAGGGTGAGACGATATTTCATGCCAGAACACCGCCTGAAATTATATAAAGCCCAAGTCAGGCCGCATATGGAATACTGTTCTCACCTGTGGGCAGGAGCGCCACAGTACCAACTCCTTCCGTTAGACCGCATTCAAAGTCGGGCGGCTCGAATTATCGATAGTCAACGCCTTACTGTCCGACTCGACCCACTGAAACTGCGCAGAGATGTTGCATCTCTGTGCATCTTCTACCGAATTTATCATGGGGAGTGTTCTGAGGAATTGTTCGGATTGATACCTGCTGCTGATTTTCACCACCGTACAACCCGCCACAAACTAAAGTTTCATCCCAATCATCTGGACGAGTGGCGGTCTTCCACCGTGCGTTTTTCAAGGCACTTTCTTCCACGCACAACCATTCTTTGGAATCAACTTCCAGCAGCAGTATTTCCGAACCGATACGACAACATAACCTTCAAGAAAAGAGTATATTCCTTTTTAAAAGGCCGGCAGCACACCTGCAATGCCGCTGGTGTTGTGGGTGATCATGGGCGGCGGTAGTCACTTACCATCAGGTGAGCCGCATGCTCGTTTGCCCCCTGTGTTGTAAAAAAAAAAAAAAAAAATATGCACTTACTCATTTATACTAATTTCAAATTTTACTTTTATTACCTGATTAACTTCTGATGTATATTAATGACATCAATTATTTCGTCGTAACAATTTTGTAATCCCCCAATGTTTTTACCATCGGCGGATTCTGCCACGCCAAGTGTCTTTATTTTAACTTGCAGTATTTGTAACATCATAGTAATATGACTTGACATAGTCATGAAAAATACATCAGAACTTAACATACAACACACTGAATATAGTCCTGGAATTGTAGAAGTTATTTCAATAACAGAATCAATAACATACAATCCCTATTCAATAGAAATAAAACAATTTGTTTTATAATTGGCAATTTGTACAACTACTAAAAAGTCCAAATATATATGTAATGAACAAGCTGTATCCTGCGGCTTCACCCGTATGAATCATTATTTTTTTATCATTATATAAAATATTTTATGTTTTAAGTTAGGATATGTAATAATGGATATTCAAATTACATTCAAATCTGTTGAGCAGTTTTTATGTAAAAGTATAAGAAATATTGTTCCATCGATACAAACGGTCGCATAAGATATAGATAGAAAAAAATAATTCTTTTTATTAATAGTAAATAGAAAAGACAAGAATACTGTTATTGATTGTAGCATTATAGCTTTTTTCTTTCTTTTATTAATACAAAATTTGTTGTAGTCATTTTATTCAGTATTTTTTTTTATTGTACACTTAATTCTTATTTGAAAAAAGCAACAGCTGTGTTTTTTGCCCATTTTTCTGAGTTAAGGTTACATTTCGAACTGGATAATAGATTTATAAAAAAAAATACAATAAAAATTTTTTTATTATGATTATAAATAAGAATTACTTTAAAAATATGCTGCAAATTCCGTAGTGTTGTAGGCATCAATAAACTACGATGACCGTTTACCGTCGGACGAGTTATATGCTTTTTGCCAGCTTTGTGATAAAAAAAATACTCAGTTCGTACTTACCAGCGACAGTTTCAAATACATACACAAATTCGTGTACAATCGGTTTTGTTTTATCAAACGGATAATACAACTGCCATACAAAGCCCAGATCTGAGGGTATTTCTTTGGCTAATCGATATAAATGTAACGCCACTGGAGTTAAATTGTATAACCACACTCCTAGTATGGTCCAGGAGACATATACTGAAATCAAAAACCGACAAATATTTTTGAAAGCTAACATTTGTAAGATATATGTGTTTTTAATTGACTCCCAAAAGACGAAGTTTCTCATTTCGTCTGAATTTATTTTGTATGTTATCTGTTTACCTCACTATTTGTAACAGTAACTAATTACCAGGCTAAATTTATATGCAAGGAAATCGCCTGTTTTTTACGAAGCAACGCTTACTTTATACTTGTTCAAACGAATCTTAAAATTTACGTACTTGTAATGTAACATAACTAGATAACTGAATCACTGAATGAAGTGATAATAAAGTGTTTATTTGATTTTTGCTAAAGCTGTAGTGTATTCTTTCTATTTATTTATTTTTAATTCTGTATATAAAAATGAAAAAATCCAAACCTCTTATACTTATTTTCCTTTGCATTGCCATTTGTATAACAATTATATCAACGCCTTTTTCCAAAGCTGAAGCATAACGAGGTTAAAGGTTTGGTTTACATTTTATTCATAATTTAATTCAATTAATTGATTTTTCATCTAATTTTGAGGATATTAGTTTCCAATCGCAATATTGTATATACGTTGACGGGGCGCTAGTGAGAGTTGATAGGTGAGAATTAAAAGGCAGATCAGTTATCCCATCATGATGAATACACCTGGGATCAGCACGATGGATTGCAAAGGTAACCATGTAGAGGTCGACTTGCCAGGGTACATTGCTAGCAATGGGTAACTGATAGTCTGCATTACTAACAATCTCTTCCCCCCCATTTGATATGTTACTCACACGTTTGTCTGGTCCGCAATGTTGACAGGCATTTATTTTTAATAGCAACCGCTTCAGGATTTTTCTCATATACAGGCCAAATGTCGGCAAGATCGTTCACTACACGTCGAAATGTATTTTTCTTGTACCAAATGGTCAATAGTTTTCCAAAACCTGTTAACAGAGAATAACTTTATATGCAATTGATTAAAATTATATAACTATTATGTTTCAATATAGGTAGTTTTATAAAATTAACTTTTATATTTATACCAAGTCCATTTTAAAGAGAAGAGGTTACATCCAAGAAAGATACATCTTCAAGTGATGAAACGTTCATAACATTTGTTTTAAATATTATTATATATATATATATATATATATATATATATATATATATATATATATATATATATATATATATATATATATATATATATATATATATATATATATATATATATATATATATATATATATATATATATATATATATACATATATATATATATATATATATTGTATTTGGAAGTTAATTACTGAATTATGCTTAAATTGTTGAACGGACTCGAATGAAATTTGATACCCAGATACGAGGACTATATCCTCGATTAACAAATAGAATAACTTGTATCCTAATTAACGCAAGCATAGCCTCATTTATGGTATATAATTAAATCAGTTGAAATTAGATAGTATCATCGAAATATGCTTGATGATCCGTTTTCCAAAACCTGTTAACAGAGAATAACTTTATATGCAATTGATTAAAATTATATAACTATTATGTTTCAATATAGGTAGTTTTATAAAATTAACTTTTATATTTATACCAAGTCCATTTTAAAGAGAAGAGGTTACATCCAAGAAAGATACATCTTCAAGTGATGAAACGTTCATAACATTTGTTTTAAATATTATCTATATATATATATATATATATAGATAATATTTAATATATAGTATTTATTTAATTTGAAAACTCATAATAGTTAAAAATACTTACTTATTGTATCGTATCCGGCAATATGTAAATAACTTCCCATAAGTTTCTCCAATGTTACCGATTTTGCTAATAAATAAACAATATATGCGTATTCACTAATCGTCTTATGTGATACTAATGATAATGCTGTTATAAAAGATGCCGCGACGCTGATTTTTTGTAAATAACTGTTTGGTATTTTATCAACAAATGACAAACCAATTCTACGAATAAAGAAATTACAGGAACGCAGTGTACCGTATATTTCTTTTTTAGCAATTAATGTTCTATCTTCCGGCATGGTGGCGCTAAATTAGCATGGGCCTCCGTGAATAGAAACTAAACAGTAAATGTTTGTGGGAACCTGTGTTTGAAGCATTTATACAATTATGACGATTAATCCTTTTATATTAGACTAATATAGATTTATTGTCTTTTTAATATTTTATGAACTGACTAGCTAACAAATTATAGGATAATAGTTAAAATACAACATTATGCTGTACGAACTATTTAATTTTTCTAAGTAGATTAATAAGTAAGAAACGCTAGCCGGACTTGTAATAAATCACTTATTTATAGAAAACTTTTGGGCATAAGTTAGTATCTATTATAATAATGTTATAATAAAGGTAATGAATAAAAGATTAACAGTACTACAGGCAATATGATTATACCTCTTTTTTAAGATTTCGGACTCATATAGTAATATTGTTGGGGTAAATTCAATGACTTGCAAATTAATCACTTGCAGAGTTGACGTTCTGGTGTAGTTTTATGCAGTGTTACTCTTTTCCAATCAAAAATAGCACTGACTTATATAATTACATATATATATATGTGATTGGAAATACCAAAACAGACAGTAACTTTTAGTAATCATTGAAATTTTAATAGCTAATTATACTAATTGGCTGAAACGGAAAAACAAATAAATAGTTGGATGTGATAGTGTCGACATTATTATAAGTATTTGTTATTGCATTACAAATACGTTTGCATAAAACTGACAACTAGTTTTTAATTTCGAACTTCAATAATTCCATTTCCAGGCAAATAACGTCAACTGCAATCAATTCATTCTTTCCATCGAAACTGTACATTTTTTATGGACCTTCGTAATTAAAACAGATAGCAAACAGTTAAATATCATGTTATGTATCACCACTGAACGGTTTCGCCTAAAATGGAATTAAAACGTTAAACTAAGGCAACCTCAAAACATGAATATAATTAAGATCAATGTTTCCCAATTATTTCAGAAAGCGTTACCAAACAATAATATATACCAAATAAATGAAAAAAGAAAGTCTTTAACTTCCCTATACGACATGACACCTAGCCTTTCCTTTATCTGTCCTATAAAGTTAATCCTCGGTTTCCCCTTCCTCTTTTGCCCTCTATTTTTCCTTCTACTATTCTCTTACTATACTATTATTCCTCTTCTATTTTCTATTGTTTTTATTATTGTTCTCTCTATTTTCTCATTCACACTTTTCATTCGTTACTTTTTCTGTCCGCCTTATCCTTTCCATTCTCCTCCATGTCCACATTTCTAATGCCTCAAGCATCTTTCTTTCCCTTTGCGTCATTGTCATGTATGCTCCAAATGTAAGTTTTTATAAATTTCTTACAGATTATTTTCGATATTTTTGATGTAAATATATGTTTTTTGTTATCATAAGCTTGTATTACGATTATTATTCGAGCAATAATAATTCCCAAAGAGGGTTGACGTCAGACAGGTGGCCGGTCGTAAAACTAAAAACCAAATCTTTTTGTAATATGGATAAAATCATATTACGCCGACCCCAAATAATTGGGATAAGGGTAGGAAGATGATGTTTCGAGCAATAATATTCAATATGCACCTAGCGTCCTCTGTGATTATACTTCTCAAGTACTTAAATTTCTTAACATTTTAAATACATATGTAAATTGCTCCGTAAATTCAACTACTATTACTACCTTCCTAAGCCAGTAGTAGTAATAACTGAATAAGGATGAATAAGGATTCTAAGAATTCTCCATACATCCAAATCATTTTGAAATTATAGCGATATAAATAAACTCACATCATATACACGAACCCTGCAAACATCTTTTTCAACCGACTTTAAAAAGAAGAAGGTTCTAAATTTGACTGTATTTTTACGTTTGTTACGTTATAATTTTGTCAGTTATAAACCAATTTGAAAAAAATCCTTTTTATCTGAAAGAATGTACTTACAGATTATTTCCATAGAAATTTTATCAAAATGTGTTTAGTAACTTAGTACCGAAATCAGAATAACTAATTTTGCTACAATTTAAATTAATTCTTTCTGTGCTAACCTTAGCGTTAACACAATCTTAAATTATTGAGCACTAATGTAAAAATTTATAATAATCCATGACTATTGGTGGATATTTGTAAACAAATATATTATATTCTGCGCGTCATGCAACATAAATACAATGATTTTTTTTTTAACTTAAAGTAAAAATAGAAAATATTGAAAATTAAAAATATTTGTTTCTTCACAATAACTTAGTAGGTTGTTATAACTATTGGGTCGGACTTTTCCAGTAGATAAACTAATTATCTGTATCAGAATAACCCAAGTCAATTTTATAATCGTATCAAGAAATCATTTACATTTAGTTATTTTTTTTATAATGTTTTAACAACCTAAAATAGAAAAAGTCGAATGAATGATAACAGTCGACAATACGCACGTGACACCCCTAGGTTACAGGTGTTCATAGGCTACACTGCCCGTTTACCAGCAGACGGGCTGCATGCTCGGGGTGATACAAAAAACAATTATTCTCCTTATCAGCTCTAAGATAGGCAGGAGTATTGCTTGATACCTATTAATACTCATGCTCATGTCAAAGTAGAAACCGTTTCCTCCACAGCGAAGTTTCTATTATGTTGACCGTAACTAGTCCACAAACTCATCTCAATATTGAAAGCTAAGTTTCCTATTGCGCTTGAAACATAATATCTACCTACGTACAACGTAACGTTTTCAGAACAATATTAATTGCGAATCTCAATACATAGATACTTGGAAGGTGAGACATTCGATATATTATATTTAGTAATAAAAATTTTCCAATATTATATACAATATTAGGAAATGTATTTATTTTAAAAATTGAAGTATATAATAATATCTGAAATAAAATGCTAGTAGTCCAAAATCTCCCTATGGTACGAGTATATTTCTTTTGCTATTACGATATACTGGAGATTAAAAGAAGTGGTAACATAATGTATTCGTATAGTATTTATTATATCATATCAGTCTTTAACTGTCCACTGTTGAACGTAAGTCTCCTCCTTGGGAGGTTTTGCTAGTAGTTGCCATGCTTGACAGGTGGATTGGCAAACGCAGTCAGGCTTTAGAGATGTTTGAAGAGGGACGCTGCTGCCCATACCTCGCCCTCCCTCAGTTGACTCTTACGACTCCCACGAGAAAGAAAGGGATGGCCTATTCTATGCCAGGACCACACGGCAGTATTTATTATAATATTAATTAATAAATATATTTGTATATAATTTGTTAACAGGAACATAATGAACTTACTGTTTGTTGTTTTCGATAATTAATTATTTCAACTTCACGGTACGGTGCTTACATCGCAGCGTCTCACCTCGCATGAATGACATTCTACGTGTTCATTAAATTCCCCGTTAAAAATTAAATACATAAAAATATACTAAATATTAAAATTGATTATAAAAATAATACTTTAATTATAAGTAATTAATGATTTGAAGTTACAGTCTCAATTATATTGATATTTATTAGGTATTAAATAGAAATAATATAGGTATACTAAATTGGTTTACAAGTATTTTTAATTCCTTTCAAAATATGTAATTCATGGATTTAGAATAGAAAGTGACGTCACACTTGACATACATGAAAGGTATTTTGGACGTCACAATATATTTTATCCTTGAAATCTATACAGAACCATGCTGGCATAGTTGTTTCACGGCAGAAACACGAGTAGGACAGAGATATTCAAAGAGGTAACTTTTGTTCAAAATGTCCTTATAGTATAAAAATATTAAATTCATAGGCCATAATATATAATATTATATATCCAATGTAGCATTTATTTACAATGTATTATTTAAAAATTATTTATCTTTTAATACCTATATATAGATATTAAGGTACGAGTATCAATAAGTATCGACACAACCCAAACAAACTGCGGCCTCAAATCCTCAAGTCGATGTAGGCTTGGCCTCACCTGTCCCTAGGATTATTCTTCCCGCATCTAGCCGGCTTTGCGGGATTACCACAGAGGGATCTCGCGAAAGTAAGCAGCTGCTCGTTTATCCACTGACAGATCTTGATTTTGTTTTACTTCTGAGTCACGTCACGTGCTCACCGCTTCCAAGGTTGCCGATAAATGTTGAGACAACATTGATATTCGTTATAGGCTGAGCGCAATATATCATATTTTCCATATCGTATGTAACCTACTATTATGAAAGTGATAAATTGTTCTGTATCCTACTAATATTCCTATCCTACGTACATTAAATCGCTATAAAAGAAAAACCTTCTAAAGAAATTAAATATTCTCGGCATTCAATAGTATTTTACTGTATATTGTAATAATTAGTTTATGTGCTTCCTGGGATTCGTAATTATAATTAAATTATACTTGTGACTTTGCTCACATTATCACGATTCCATACAAAATATAAGTTTAATAAAAATTACGGCCGCTTAGCGTTTACAAAGCAGTATTATAAATGTGAAAAATGTTTAAAAATTTGGTACTCAATTTGAACTGGAAAATATCCTAACTTTACACAGCAAACTTAGTTAGTATATTAATAATAATATAAAATATCGGTATATATCCAACAAAACATATATTTTTGTTTTTATATGATGAAGTAAAACTAATCATTGAAAACGAAAAACATAAGTTACATTTACGATAAAACTATTAAGTATACTTTTATGAGGTGTTTCCTAGAGACTATAGTATGGGGTTTTACAAAAAGGGTGTATTAAGGTTTCTTCAGGGTCGGCAACATGCACGTGACACCCTTACTGTAGCAGGCGTCCATAAGTTACAGTGTCCATTTACCATCAGACGGGCTATATGTTTATTTACCACTTTCGTAGAATAAAAAAAAATACAAAATTAGGAGCTGATTTAATTACACATTATAGTACTTACCAAACTGAGTAGCGGTTTGTGGCTAAGATGAAATGCTCATATTTTTTCTTATATTTGAAACCTCCCATGCTGTATGCTATTTATTTGTTGGCAGACAACAAAATATATATCTTTGACATAAATATTGTCATCATGATTTGCTTACAACTGCCCACTACTGA